TTTGTAGACGATTACGTCACAGCAACGCGAAGAAGGCTGTCCCAATTCACAGACTCCTCTGAATGCAGCCGACAAATGCGTCCTCCTTTTCCCCAGATTTGAAGGATGGGTCGGGTGTGTCCTTTACTGCCACCATATCCCAGAATTCATAGCGCAGCCCAGGCAATTCCAGTTTCCAACAATGGCGGCCGCTACTAAGTTTTAAAATTACTCTTACTAATCTTTCTGGGTCACAAAATAAACTTTTAACATATTTTCAGGCGAGAAAGTAGCTGTGTAAACATCAAATATCTGCTCGGTTTATCAAGATATCGCATATTTGCAAAAGTGCTTCGACGTTTTCGGAGACGTCTTCTACCCACCAGCTCGATAGCTCGCCGGGAGCTCGAGGGTCACTGAAGCCGCCGAGAACGGCACAACTCCCGGCACATCATTTTCAGATCACCGCCGACTTTCGCTGCTCAGGTTAAACGTGATATATGAGTCACTTAGACAACTTAAACATGTTATTGTTGGGCTTTTTTCAGTGTTTTGTTTGTTCGTGAGTAAATCGGTTTGGCTGAGATTAAAGTTATTAGATTAAATAAAACTTTATTAATCCATCGGGTGGGTTCCTCCTTGGTTTTCACACAGCTGATTAAATGTCAAGCACTGATTACGTAGAGGCGTTGCAATATTGATCCATAAAAATCTACCGTTCACTCTACATACTATTGTGAGGGATACGGATGATTTATTCTGATTACTGGGCTTTTATATGGGGAACAGATTCTATTAGGAAGTGTTTATGCACCAAATATTTTAGATAGATTGTTTTATTCAAACCTTCTGGCAAAAACCTCCTCTGTGTGTCTGAATCACGTAATAATTGGTGGGGATTTTAACTGTGGTCTGAGTCCTGAAACTGATTATGATCCACCAGAATCTCAACCACCTTCAAAAATGGCAAAGGCTGCAGTGGACTTCTGCTCAGATCTTGGTCTTTTTGATGCCTGGAGAGTTTGTAATCCACATGTGAAAGACTTTACAGTTTTCTTTTTCCAGAATTGATTACATGTTTGTTTCTAGATCTGTCCTTGACAGAACTCGGGGTTGTTTGATCAACACATGCGCTCTCTCAGACCACTCATCAGTCTCAATGGAGTTATTACCACCTTATTATGATCCCTTGTTTACACACTGGCGGCTAAGCCCAGCTCTCCTTAGTGACCCTGAATTTGTCAAATATTTAGAAGATCAGTGGGAACTTTTTCTTTCTACAAATGACTTACCGGGGGTTAGTGCTTCTACTCTGTGGGAGGCGGGTAAGGCATTTCTCAGGGGCTCTATTATCTCTTTCACCTCAGCGAAAAAGAAGAGCACCTTAGCCAAACAATTAGTACTTGAACGCGACATGACTAACTTGGAGAGGGAGTTTAAGAAATCCTCGTCTGTTTCTGTGCTTAAAAAACTGGATGCAGCCAGATCAGCCCTGGACCAACTACTAACTCAGAAAGCAGAAACTGCAATATTCTATGCAAAGCATAGATTATTTGAATCGGGCAACAAACCTGGACGCTTACTTGCCCGACTTGCCCAGGGGAAAAAGGGCTCTTATGCAATACCCTCTCTAAAAGATAAGAAAGGTGTTTTACAATTCGAGGCTAAACTTATCAGCAAAATAATGAAAGAGTTCTATCAGGATATTCCCCTGAGTGTCAAAGTACTGTAGATCAGGGGTGTCAAACTCTTTTTAGTTCAGGGGCCACATGGAGAAAAGTCTATTCTCAAGTGGGCCGGACTGGTAAAATCATTGTATACATAACAACTTCAGATTGTTTTCTTTGTTTTAATACGATCAACATAAAAATAAAGCTAGAGCCTGTGGACAGTATGCCCAAAGTAGTACAGGCACAACATGCTATTAATCATAAAACATCAAGTTATTTGAAAACTCTGAGGACAAAGAACAAGCACACAGTGCCTCAGTGATTCACAAAACTGTTTCACAGAACTACATCAGGGTGTCACTTCGCAGGCAGCAATGTAGATAAAAATAATGAAATGCTGTTCCCCAAACAAGTACAAGAACCACAGAATAAGTTAAATATATAAATCAAATATAATCAATTAGAAACACTCTCACATCAACATAAAAACATATAAACATAAAGCTGGAGCCTGAGGACAGTGTGTCCAAAAGCACAACATAGCTATTAATCATAAAACATCTCAAGTTATTTGAAAATTCTGAGGACAAAGAACAAGCACACAGTGCCTCAGTGATTCACAGAACTACATCAGGGTGTCTCATGCAGCACTTTCAGTGGGGTTGCATCGTTTATGTGACTCCTGATACCTGGCATCTTTAGCTTTCACCAGCTCATCAATATCAGGCTTCACATCTTGAGCGGCAGCTAACTTCAGGATGTGATTCGAGTGCCTGTGCGTGAGCCTTGAGCGCAGTTTTGTTTTATTTATGCTCATTACAGAGAAACTTGCTCACAAAGATACGTGGTTCCCAACATGCACAATAGTTTTGCAGCGAGGGCATCAAGTTGGGGTAACCTGGCAGGAGATTCTGATAGAATGTGTTCAAGTCAGCTGCAGCAAATTTTCCCTTCAAATCCGAGTCACGCTGCAAGTCTGTTATTTCAAGTTGGATCCGGACGGGCAGATCAGAGGGATTCACGGTGAACGGCGAGCACAAAACTTTGAAGTCTTTCTCCAGTTCACCAAAAATCTGAAATCGTTGCTCAAACTCTAGTAATAGTCCTGTTATTTTATCTTTGAACTGCTTCATATCCGCCACACTTTGGATCGTGCACACATTTTTCAGACAGGGGAAGTGAGCTGCATCACCACCAGCGAGCTGCGTCTCCCACAATAACAGCTTCAACTTGAAATGCTGTCATAATACTGCGTGACAACTTTGTTGCGTCCTTCCAACTGTTTGTTCAAGTTATTCAGGTGCTCTGTAACATCCACCATAAATGCAAGGTGCTGCATCCATTCTGCAGAATGAAATTCTAACACTGGTTTCCCCTTTTCTTCCATGAACTGTTCAATTTCTTCTCGTAAATCAAAGAAACGCCTCAGCACAGCACCTCGGCTCAGCCATCTTACCACAGTGTGGTATGGCAGGCCATAGATGTGGTCTTTCTCTCTGAGAAGACTGTCAAACTGACGCTGATTGAGGCTTCTGGATGAAATTAACAGTTTGGATGACCACCTTCATGGCGTTATCCATTTTCAGTGACTTGCAACACAAAGCCTCCTGGTGCAAAATACAGTGAAAAGTCCAAAAACCACGTCCTCCATTTGCAGATTGCACTTTATCTCTGAACCTTTTTACAACGCCTGCTTTCTTCCCGATCATTGAGGGCACACCATCTGTAGCCAGGCTGACAGCGCGGGACCGGTCCACTCCGACCCTGTCCAGCGCGCCGACGAGTGCGGTGAAAATATCAGCTGCGGTCGCTGTATCTGTCATCGGTACCAACTCCACGAACTCCTCGGTGACGGTCAATGTGTCATCAACTCCGCGGATGAAAATTGCCAGTTGTGCAACATCTGTAATGTGCCTTCATCAATTGCAACTGAAAACACAATAAATGACTATTTTTTGTCCAAATCCGCTGAAAGATCAGAAATCCTGTCGGCAACTGTGTTTCCTGTCAGGCTGATATTTGCAAAGGACTGGCGCTTTTCAGGGCACACAATCTTAGATGCCTTCATCATACATGTGTTTACAAATTCACCCTCACTAAATGGTTTGGAAGCTAGTGCAATGTCGTTGGCAACGAGGTAGCTAGCTTTCACTGCAGCATCACTGATGTCTCGGCTGTGAGTAAACACAGACTGCAGTTTCTTCAGACCCGCCAACAGTTCATTCACCTTCTCTCTTCTCCGCTGTCCTTGAAAGTTGTCATATTTGTCGGCATGAAGACTCACGTAGTGGCGACGGAGGTTATATTCTTTCAGCACTGCAACATGCTGGGAACACACCAAGCATACAGCTTTCACTTCCGTGAATAAACAGGAGGATGACCATTTTTCTTGGAACACTCTGCAGCCACTTTTCTCTTTTTGACAGAGACATATTGGGCCAATGAGGGTGCCAAAGCACATCGGGTTTAAATTTCGCGGGCAAAACAAAGTAGCTCACAATTGCTATTGCGCCATCCAATGGACACAATTGGAACAGCAGTTTCTTTATTGAAAAATTGCTGCTCATTTTTATACTTTACAAAATCATCTCACGGGCCAGATTAGGCCCGCAAATGGGTTTAATCCGGCCTGCGGGCCGTCTGTTTGACACCCCTGCTGTAGATGCTAGGATATTGTTTCTTGATAATGTTAATCTCCCTATACAATCAGAGGAAAGTCGATTAGATCTTTGCAGTCCTATTAGGGCGCAGGAAATTTTAGATGCAATCAAATCCTTACAGAGTGGAAAAGCTCCAGGCCCTGACGGGTTTGGGCCAGAGTTTTACAAAAAATGGCCAAACACATGGTGGGTCCTTTATTAAAAATGTATGTAGAATCTCTTGAGAGGGGCACACTTCCACTCACCTTAAACCTTGCCCATATATGATCTTAAAGGATAAACCTGCAGATCTGTGTACATCTTACAGACCTCTAAGTTTACTCGGTGATAGCAAGGAGCAGACGGCCGAGTTTAATAAACTCCACCGACACAGCGGTGACGCAAATCTGAAGGGCAGACCGTCCCATTTCACAGACGCTCACTTCTCGGTCTTTGGAGGACCCGGGCCACGTAGAACGCGAAGGCCGGGTCCTCCGAAGGATGCGGCCTAGGTAGCTGATGCTCTGTGTAGTTGGATTGGCTCTTTGCAGCAGGGACAAAAACAGCTGTGTAATGGAGGAGGTCACTGTAAGTGGGATGGACTTGACCTCCTGACTATGACTGATGTAGATGATAAGGTGCTGACTCTAAGAATCCACAATCTCAACAGGGTTGTCCGATAAGAACAGATGGCATATCCATAAAATCCACTGCCACTCAGGTATCTGTCGTTCACTCATTTATTTAGCAAGAATCCGAAGCACACATCCATAATGTGAGTGAGGGGATTTAACAGACTGTAAAATGCTATATGCCGTGTGGTGAGTGATGGTGTGGTTTCTGTTGGAAAGAACATAAAAGTCTTCCATAATTATGTGAACAGAGTGAATTAAATGTGTAATACAACAATACAAACAATACTGGATAGTGGAACATTCAACCAAAATAAGGGAGTGTCAACAAATGCTAATTTTACTATTTACATAAATCCCAACTAGGCACTTTACATTAGAGCTAACATGAGAAATTAGTGACGGTCCCTTAATGACCGCACGGCAGAGGCTGCTTCGCAGTAAACGGCAGTAACAATCGGTAAACGAAGTGTGCGCCAAGGATTAAACAAGGGAGGATAATGGCCGCAGCAAAGAACAAACACGATAAAACACAGAAACGTACAGTCTCATGGACGCACACTGCTAACAGCATTAGAGGAATGAAAATCCACACGGTGAGTAAAACTCTGCTGACTCTTCCCACCTGCAGCTCCGACCGAACTCTCTGCGTCGACATGTGCGTAATGATGAGGTAGAATTGTGTCTTCTGATTGGTGAAGAGAATTGGTTGCCTCACCGCTCATTGGCTAAACGGCAGCCGTATGCTGATATCTTACTCCGCAGATGCGGCTCCGTTCGTGAGTTCTGCGAACTGGCTGGCCTTTTGTACAAGCTGCCATAGCAGCCTCCGTTTGGCCAACTTTCTGAAAAAGTTGAACAGCTGAGCTGGTTTCAGGTGAGATCTTTGTCCCGGCAGGTGTCAGAGCAGCGGGGACTAATTAAAGGACTGTGAGCACCTGGGGACAGGTGTCCAATCAGCTGACAGGAAAGGTGACTCGTGTTTGCGCATATACTGGCTGTGTCCCAATTCAGGGTCTGCACGCTTGAAGTACGCGCACTACGCGTACTACGTACGGAAGTGAGAGGCTTGTGAAATGGGACGGTATACGCTTCGTCGTGCTGTTCAGGTTGCCTAGCAACCATGATACTAACCGTGAGACACGTTACATACAGCTTTGTGTGACAGAAATGAAGGAGAAAAATGTTTTGTTGGTCATTAATTTTTGTCATGACATCACTTTGATTAGTTGAGTATCTGAGGCTGAGACCACAGGACTGTAAACATGATTGTTGGGCTTCATGTCTGTGCTGAACAGTCATTTAAGATTAACTAGTAAATGACAATTAGCTAATGTTGCTCATGAGACTAAAGTCATCTCACTGTGGTAATGTAAATATAATATGGCCAATATTATAGTATTGTCAGATTATTATGATTTATATATATATATATACACACACACACACATATATCACTGACTTTCAGCTTGTTGTGTTTGTGGATATATGACTGACGTTAATTATTACACATTCGCACATAAATAAGTGACGTCATATTCAGTACTTTTGACAGTTCACTCTTCGGCCGCTCCATCCTATTAGGGAAATTCTACATACATAAATGTAAATTTCAAAACTCAACCCCATCATTTAATTTGTTTTTGATTGAAATTGAATATTACTTAAACTCTCTTAAATTAACTTCCAATAAAAAGGGTTTATCATTGATTGAAATTCATTCAGAAATGTTTAATGAATGAGCTGTCACAACTTTCAAATACAAAGTTGTTATGAAGTCTGTCACATTCCCCCCTTTTTTTCTTTTTTATCCTTTATTTATTTATCCTTCTTATTTCATTGTACTATATATTGTTACTCTTATTTGCCTTGTATGTCCACTGTACAAACTGAACTGAACTTTATAATTTCAATAAAGTTTGGAAAGAAAAAAAAACCCTCCTCGGCCGCTCCCTTCTGCCGTGTTTTGCGGCAAAATTATCCACACCCACCGCCGCGCTATGAATTGTGGGATATATGGGACCACGAAGCGTGCACCGGACCACGCTTGATATTTGGGGAAATCGACGGCGCATTTGGAGTATGCGTTTGAAGTACACTTCAAATTGGGACAGCCGTCGTTGCGTGGCGGTGACGTAACCGCACTTAAAATGCGTACTTCAAGCGTGCAGACCCTGAATTGGGACACAGCCACTGTCGGTAACGTCAGGAGTGGAACATCTGTGACCGCGCGCTTTGTTGCTGCCCGGACCAGACTGCAGACGCACCGTTGCTATTGGTTTCAACGGAAGCTCCAGACGCTCTGCGGCTAAAGGCTAACCATGCTAACGTCAGCAGGGCTGAAACACGGTGAAACGTCACAGCTTATTTCTGATGTTTTCAGCTTCGGCGTGTATTGACGTTGACGTCATCGTCGCGGGGAGCTCGTGCTGTGACCTGATCCCTGATGAGCTAACTGAGGCTAAGAACTAGCAGCGGGATTAGCCGGAGGCTGCGGCTTCAGCATTCTGAGCAGGAGCTGTTAGCCGCTCGGCCAGCGGAGCTCAGCCCGGGATGAGGCGCTGCAGCCGGTGGGGACGACAGCAGGAGGGCGGCCAAGCTGATGGAGGTAAACCCGGTGAATTTCCCACAGCCGTAATTACCGTTCAAAATAACTTTATTCACATTGAGCAGAGAGACTCGTGGATGTAGTGAATGAGGACATACAGAGGGTTGGTGTGACAGAGGAGGATGTTGATAGAGTCTGATTCACCATCAGCGATGACCCCAGCACTCCCAGTCAATCCGAATTTGGTTTTAAATTAAAGAGCAAGCTGTTCACCTTTCTTCAGAGTATGAGGTACGGGTCACCTGTGAAGACCTCCAAGGTTTCAGGTTCTTCACAGTGTCAGTTTAATCCAATTTCATTTATATTATTAGCACCACAGCAACTGTCACCTCAAAGTACTTTCTACTGTAAGGTAAAGAGCATACAGTAATACTGAGAAAGCCCCAAAGATCTGACAACTCCCTATGAGCAAGCACTTTGGCGACAGTGGGAAGGAAAAACTCTTAACAGGAAGTAACCCCTATTAGAATCAGGCTCAGGGAGGGGCGGGGCCATCTGCCGCGACTGGTTGGGGTGAAAGAAGGAAGACAGGATAAAGACATGCTGTGGAAGAGAGACCAGGATCAATAACAAGTATGATTCAATGCACAGAGGTCTAATAACACAGAGTGAAGAAGAAACACCCAGTGCATCATGGGAATCCCCGGCAGCCTACGTCTATTGCAGCGTAACTGAGGGAGGATTCAGGGTCACCTGGTCCAGCCCTAACTATATGCTTTAGCAAAAAGGAAAGTTTGAATCTTAAAAGCAGAGCTAGTGTCTGTCTCCTGAATCCAAACTAGAAGCTGGTGATGAGGTCTAACACCTGTCCACACCTGTATGAGTATTTGAGGGCGGGGTCAGAACTCTGAACTCTAATGGTTCACCTGTGCTCTTCTTCAGGTGTGAGGTTATGACGGGGTCAGACTTTGTCCTGAGACAGTCCAATCTGGACCAAGTCGCACTGGTCCTTGGAGCGCCGACGCCATGTCAGACATGTCTGATCCAGCTGTCGTAGAGGGACAGGCTCCTCACTGTTCTGCTCGGCCCCCCCTGGCAGAGAAGGCGCTGTCCGAGGTCTTCGGGCGGCTGCGGTATCGCGACACGTCACTGCTCATCTGGCAGCAGCAGCAGCTGGAAGCAGCACCGCCCTCCACCTACCTGAGCCGCAGCCAATCAGCCTGGTACAGTAACTATGGCAACCAGGCAGTCCTGGTCCGAGACAGGAGGGGTGCGGACGAGGGGCGGTCCCGGATCTGCAGCATCATGTGACGCAGAGCAGTTCAGTTTGGTCACTAACAAACATTTTGTTTTTAATTTAGAGAACTGTCCAATCAGAGAGAAGCATTAAGATCCACGCCCCCGCCCCTCTCTCACCCACTGACTGCAGACAGGAAAAAAACGAACAGTATTAATTGTCAGCTTGGCGAGCTCCAGCGTCAGCTCTGATGACCAGTTTAATGGACTTCCTGCCCTACAGGGGGCGTCCCGTGTCAGTATCTAACCCTAGTGTCCTCCATTTTGATTTGGGGAATGAAGCCAGCAGCACCACACTGAAACCATCACCTTCATCAAGCATGCCACCAAAAGACATTGTCCTGTTTGAAACCCTTAAGTGACCAATCAGCACGCAGTTACAGCACACTGGTGCTTTCTGGGTAAAATCATTGTCACAGAGAAATTGAAGGTAACGAGTCTTCAGACGTGTTACTGATTTATGGAAACGACGAATAAAATGTTTTCTTGTTTTAGCTCTGTCATTCTTACTCAGTGAAGACTGTCTGAGAGCGCCCCCTAATGTCAGGCCAGTGAAACTGATATACAAACAAGGCCAAGCACAGTTCCACCAGCGCGATGAAGAAATGTTGCTGCAGTAACTCAAAGATTCTGATAAATGAGAAGAGAAGAAGGTGTACTTTATTGGTCCCCGTGGGGAAAATCCCTCTCTGCATTTAACCCATTCACTCAGTGAAGCAGTGGGCAGCCATTGGGCGCCCGGGGAGCAGTGTGTAGGGACGGTACCTTGCTCAGGGGTACCTCAGGGTAGCTGTTCAGGGGAATCGAACCCCCGACCTTCTGATCATGGGGCAACCACTCTACCTACTGAGCTATCCCTGTTCAGACTGTGATGATGATCTGCTGTAACTCACAAAACCTTTTCTTTCACGTAAGGACTTTGGTGTGGTTCGAAGCAGCAGGAAATGAAACTCATGAAAAAGTCCAGAATTTGGTCCTCCCTTCACATTTTCCTGTTCTGGTCCTCGAGCCTTATATTTGACACCCCAGGATTAAAGAGTGGTATGGGGGTGGGGCGGGGCTTGTGTGTGTGGTGACTGTTTATTAGTTTAGAATTAGCTGCATGTCGACTCCGGCGTGTCACGAGGGAGCAGCGGGCTCGTCTCAGCCCCGCCCACTCGGTGCAGCCCAGGACAACGTCCAGCGTCACAGCACGCCTCAGGTGGCCCCGAGGACTTCTCTCACTTCGTCCGTTAGAGCGCGCTCGGTGACAAAAGAGTGGAGCCACTTGTTTTCAGTTTATGTGTTTATTTATGAAAACAAATGAACTCAGAAAATAAGGATCCCATATCAGTAATTACATCAAATAATTCACTTGTTTCGTCCCCTCTGCGTCTCTACGAGTGGAGCTCGCTCTAACCTCAGACGGCTACTTTACAGCTACTATACAGCGCTCAAACATACGCGAGAAAAACGTACGGCCGGAGTGCATGCAATACATAAAACCACTGTTTCCTTTTCTTATTAAAATACAAAATTAACTATGAGCGTCGAAGCTCAACCATCAACTAAAAACAAAGAGGAGGGTTACTGTGGCAACGAGCTGTCCGCCTGTCTGTCGCAGGGGGTCCCGATCGAACGCTTTGCCCGGTCCATCGAGTCGTAATGCGCCCGCAAAACAAAACGTGGAGGCTAAAGGAAAGATCCGTGACAACAGATGACGATGCGGTGCCACCCGGAGGTCGTGTGATCACGACGTCAGATTATTCTCCAACACCTGCCATTTACAGGTTTCTTACCAGGTTACCTCCAGGGGGCACCACAGGTAAACTGATCTCCAGCTGGAGGTCGCCAATAATCAGGGGTCAGAGGAGCGAGGGGAGGTGAGGTTTTACTGAACACACCCCCTGGCTCCAGCCAATCGGAAACCATTTATATCATTGGGCATGTCGATTCAACAGTTTCAGTAAAACTCTACGTCTAATATTCATGATTCATCTTTGTTTGCGCTCTGCAGCTTGTACAAAATTCAGAACGCCACCGAGGACGCGGCGGTCAACGTCATGATGAATTTTTCAGAGAAAACAAACTTCCTGTTTGTCAATATTTCCTTTGCCAAGAACCGACACGGCGTCCAGGGATAAGAACAACTATGGCCGCGTCCCAGAGAGCCCAACACCATCGGAGGTGTAACCACAGATCATAGGTCAGAGGGCAACAGGCCTATCCGCCTGACACTGACGTCAGGTGATCAGAAATCTGACGCCACAATGCCCAACGTAAGCCACAAACATCTGCCGAGCGCTTGACAGACGGGTTTTTTCTGAAATCGCGAAAATGAGTCGTGACTGCGGTGGGCGTGGCATTTTCCTCAGAAATCGTTTCTTGCGTCCTGATGTCCTCCGAGCGGCAGCGAGCTCTAAAACCTTAAAATAAATTGTCTAAAAAGCTTTAAAAGAAACGAGGTGCTCCGAGTTTGGACCCTGACAGGAGGAGGCGGTACAGTATGAGTGGTTCTTTTTTGGCGGGGTGAGAATGGGGGCGGCGCTTGAACAGGACAGCAATAGAAAGACATTTTATATAGAGAACCTTATAAGACACAAACAAGTTCAGCACACAACCTGAAAATCAAAAACAGGAAATGTAGTGTTAAAAAGAAATAAATCAACGTCTCTGTGCTGACAGAGCCGTGCTGGGGGCGGGGTCAGGATCCTGTGACCCCACCCACATTGCCACGATGACCCCCAAGGACAAACAGGAAGTTGTGTCTAGGGTTGCAGGACCAGCAGGGGGCAGGGTTGGTCTCAGAGGTTTTTAAGGTGGAGCTGAAAGATCCAGAAGCCGGTTCGATCCAAAGGGTTGATCAGTCAAAAAAAAAAAGGTTTATTTCCCGCTGAGACGATCCATCAAGAGTCCACTTGGACACTTTTTAAAGCGCTACCTGATGAGGACTCAGCTCCAGAGCAGGCGGCATGGGCACGCCCTCTGTTCTATCTGCAGGCACGCAGTTTCCTGTTACGTGTTTTAAAGGGTTTAACGCCAAACTGAACCAACCACCATAAACAAAATCAGGGTTTTGGCCTGGCGCCGTCAGTTACCCGTCATAAATACCTCAAAATTTAAATAAAGTTTTGAATTAAAGATACTTTTTGTAACAACCTTCTGCAGAATGTAACTAAACATTCCACCACCAGGGGGCACCATGTCACCACTGAGGTCAGGCCTTGTCCTCTTCGTTTTCACACTGGCACAGGAACGTACTCATACCCGTTTTAAATAAAGTTTACGCTGGTTTCATTTAGTGGCACAAACTGGTATTACACTAAAGTTCTTCCTTTTTCACCTCAGTGACACACTTTTAATTTGAAAAGCTTTTAATTTTAACATTTAAACTGGATTTTACAAAAAGTACCTTTAAACTGCTAAACTGTATTTTCCTGCTGACCCCGCCCACCGCCATACTCCTGCCTGTTTCCCACCTCGCTGGTTTTCTCAATCCCAGTTTAAAGTAGCAGACGGCACATCAGAAGGAGGGGCTAAACAACGCCTTGCCGCCAGGTTCAGAGAAAAAACGGTTATTTGTAAAACTGTTCTGTGATGTCACACGCTGACATCGTCAGGTCTTCTCTCTGCTGCAGCGCTGCCGACAGCTTCAAATGAAACGTGAGATGCGCTCATTCGTCTCAGTATCCACAAACCTGCTGAGATCACCTGCTCCTCCTCTCCAATGATACTTGTGGAATGTATTCAGAGGTCAGGGGTCACCACCGGCCGTCCACGAAGAAGAAAAAGACGAAGAAAGAAAGTCTCGACGGTTGCATTTCTGTCCACAGATCAGTAAGACTCCCAGACGGGCTGCCCATCGCTCTACCTGACTCCGCCCACATCCTTCCTCCTCCATCACTTTCTTCTGTCTGCAGTCCTCCAATAGCGGAAAAAATGAAACAAAAAACAAAAGCACTAGGAGCTAAAAAAAACAAACAGGTCAGCCTATTTACATCCAGTCTCTGTGTTTAAACGTGTGTGTAACAAGTTCAGAGTGTGTATCTCTGTCTTTGTGTTTGTTCAGGATGGAGGTGTGTGTGTGTGTGTGTGTTCAGTAACACGTGTATGTGTGAACGCGTGTTCAGTCTGTGTCGGAGGATGAGGAGGTTCCTGTCGAGGAGCTGTCATCGGAGGAGGAAGAGGAGCTGCCACTCAAACGACTAGCCCCGCCTCCTGAGGCCCCGCCTCCAGCTGCCTTCTCTGAAAAGAGAAATAAAGGAAGACAAGTCAATGAGACAGTCCCGGCCAGGTGACACCGTTTCTGTTGGCGCTCGATGATTGTTGCCTAGACAACACGGCTCAGTCGCCCAAGTCCAACGCTCACACGATGAACCCACCCCCCCGTATCGGACCGCTCAGACATCGACGGCCGTGCTTTTGAGGCGGTACTTACGCAGTAGCTTCCTTTGCTTCTTCTGCAGGCAGGACTTGACGTAGCGCTCGAGCTCTCGGAGCGTGGAGGGTTTGAGCGTCTCGAAGTCGATCTCGATCTCGTCGGGGTTGGAGTCCCTCAGCGACGGCTCTCTGGTCTGGATGATGTGCACGACACGGCCCAGCTTCTCTCCCGGCAGCCGGTTGATGTCCAGACTCAGCTGCCGCTTCTCATCGTACGACATCGGCAGCGACGACTCCTCGCCGTCGTCCCCGTTGGCTGAGCCGCTGCCCGACGTCTTGTTGCCTTTCTTGGGTTGCCTGGAAACACAGTCACTGCGGTCACTACATTGTCCCTTTTCTCAGGTGGATTTGCTGAACACTGAGTCGTACCTGGTGGCCGTCACCGTGCTGTTGGCTTTTCTGGCTGGCGCCTTCTTCTGATTGGCCGGTTTGGGCTGCTGGGCGGCGGCCTTTGGCTTCTTCTCTTCCTCCATCTTGCCTTTATTTCCCTTGTCTTTCTCCTTCTCTTTCTTCTTCTCCTTGTCTTTCTTCTCTTTCTTCTTCTTTGGCTTGCTGACCGGCGCCTGGGACAGGACCGCCAGCTGCTCGTGCACCGCCTTCAACTGATGGAATAAACTGATTATCAATACCCGTCATCTGTGATCAATACACGGCCACGCCTTCACGGGGTGAGTCACAGGAGCCATGGATATTTCAAACATGAATGTCAAGTAAACAAATCGTGAAATCTAAAATGATAAAAAGAAGAAAACCAAGATGTTCTTGACCTGTGATTGGTCGGCAGCACCAACCTGCTCCTGTAGCTCAGCCAATCGCGTGGCCCGCTCCTCCTCAGAGTCGGACGATTCGTCAGAGGAGGAGTTGTTGCTGCTGTCGGAGGAGGCGGTGCTTTTGCTGACCACCGGTGTCGTGGTGGGGACCGACGCCTCCAGGCCCTCGTCAGGGATTTTAGCGAAACGCATTTCAAACACGTCCTAATGGCAGACGGGTTATCGATACCTGATCGCAGCGATCGATCGAGCAGGAAACGGAGGCTTTACGTACCTGCAGCTTGCGGGCCATGGCCACCACCTCG